AAGTGTGAAATTTAAAAGTTACCATTACAGACAGCGGGCGAACGCGCGACAGTGAAACGCGGCACTGCAAACTCGAACGTTAGGTTGAAGCCCATTCAAACTCGATACTCTCTTTGGGAATAAAACCCATGAAACCGAGCGGCCGGTACCATTTTTAAGTTCGGCGAGAGCTTTAAAAGCTGTACACCGGACGAACTAGCTTTTCGAACAATTCGAATTAAACGCTGGCGTCTCTACGCAGGCCTGCTGGACGTTATCAGCAGCAATTTTCATTCGATGCATCGACGTCGATGCAAAACTGTTATATTTTTTAATCGGTATGTTCTAATATACTATAATATACTAATATAATTTTATATTATTTTATTATTATTATTATTATTATTATTATTATATATTTATGTTGATCATGTTACTGTCAGTCTTTAAATCACTATTCAAATCTCAATGAGTATGAGAAAAATCATTTTCTTTTGTTGAGCAACCGTGTGTCTTTATATAATTATAATCACAATAAGGGCACCGGTCAGATTCAAGACAGTAATGATAACAATGACGCTAATAATAATTATCGTAGTAATAATAATGAAATTTCAGGTGGGAGAGGAAGACAGTGATCTTACCTTAGAGGATAAAGGGAAAGAGTAATATGGGAAAGGACGACAAGAGGCGCATCGCGCAACGCAGTGACGGTGAGTGTTCAACAAAATTACTGCTCGTGCTTGCTATTATGCTTGTTCGACCACAAGCGCTACATTTTCGAATATACCAATAAAGATGAAGATGAAATATACGCATTTATGAAACAATTTATGAAAAATAAAAAATAAGAAGAGGATGTTATTTTAATTAATTTATGAAATTATAATTTATAATAGTCACAAAATTCCTTCTTAAATATAGATCAAAGGTAGTCTAATTTAAGGTTGAAATTTCACAGAATATTGCTTAAGTTAATTTTCAATTTACTAAAGCCATGCAAGAAATAAAACTTTAATGAATTTTAAACCTTTTTTAATTCCCTAAAAAGATCCGTGTTTGCATATTAAAAATTACAAAGGAGGTGACGTTAAGTGATAAAGTAAAAAAGTTTTCCAATAATAAAGTAAGAAACGCTTTGAACAGATTTTGTTGAACATGATTTTTCAAACAGTAGAGAAGCTTATACAATATATTAGAATTTAGAATTTGCTGGTTCAAATGACTTTACATTGATTTCATGTATAAATAGTTAAGCATCGTTGACCACAAGAATTATAATTAACACATTTGTGTCTTAAAAATTTGGGACACGAGTTTCTCGTGAAAATACAAAACCGAGCAGTAATGAATGGTCCGAAAATGCCGCATCTTTTACATTTATTTGCAGTCGAAAATTCAAGGTATAACTTCCGGGGTGCGCCGTTTAAATTCCAGTCGGCTGAATGCTCGGTCATACGTACACGCACACTGGTCAAAGAACAGAGGCCGACACCCCTAACTCGGGGTTTCTCCCTCGAATACCTTGTTACATTTTGTTCTGCAGTTTTTAAAATACTTCCCTTCCTCTCGATATCGTCGTGTATACACGTCAAGTGTAAAGCGTGAGTCACAGTAGACAATTACACAAGGGTCGGTCAAACGTGAACCGTATATGTATTGTACAACTTCACAGTCATCATGGTTACAGTTTATATATATGGACTGCTACATTTAGCACTGTGAATGAAAACGTTTTCTAGTACATACTCCGCGAAAGCATCATAAATACATCCGTAGTCTATCTATGACGGAAGAAGAATGTCGCTTCGCTAAGTGCAGCACGTTATCCGTCACTCTCGTCGACCGCAAGCAACGTATTGTAGCCGACTCGGTGTCGACTTTGAATGCAAGAAAAGTCTAACACATAAGCATCTCTTCTTTCATCTGTCGGTTTTTTTTTGGTAATAGAGGCCGAGACGACCGTGTGCTAGAGCGCCAAACAGCGGATAGACCTTTGAAAGTTCTCGAGAACAAGGGTCCAATTACATAGAAAGTTAAAGGAAGAGTAAAAACAGGAACGCTTGAGAACTGAATGCTGCGACGCTTTTTTGTCTAGACTCCGACATACATTTCCTAAACTCGTGAGCGGCGTCTTCTGCCTCGGCATCCGCGATTGTTTTTCTTTTCCTCCAATTTCTGAACCTATAGCGCTCGTCTTGCGAATCGGTGGTAAATTTCATTACATTCCCCGAAATTTCCACGAAGCCCGTTAGGCGCACGAACTGAGCTCCGTTATTGTGCTTACCAATATTTCTGGCACAGTGTGTTTAATCCCTTAATGCACAGTTTTTCTGAAAAAGGCCGGCCAAAAAAAATCAATTTTTTTTCATGTAAAAAAACACAATTTAGAACGTTGTCTCGGCAAGAAAATTACAAAAATACAAAAATAATCAAAATTTTTATTGCAATTTTGGATTTTGATGACAATTGTCACTTTCTTCTGAGCCGCTTTCCGACAAATTTGCGTATTCATATTCCGATTCTGAATTGCTCATTTTTCAGTATATGTTTTACTAAAATATAACATAAAACAAAATATAATAATAACAATAATGATAATAATGATAATAATAATAACAATTTGAGAACGAGAAAACGTACCAATTGTATAAATATCCAATACACCCACACACACAACTTTACTTTCTGTCTTCACAAAATAACTCACTGTCTATAAATATACAGTAATCTTTGCAAGTTTACAACACTAAATATTGAACTCAACTATAAAAGTAGAGAAACAAGTGTTTGATATATTTCACAACTAAATCGTAAAATATATGAAACAATATCCTTTATATAAATTCATGAAAATGATACGACAAATTGTAGTCAGTCGTCACGAGTGCAGAAGTGCAAGAAGGGAGTGTTGTGTATCATAGTGGTTGCAAAACAAAACAAAGCGCATGCGCCGTGCAGCGATAAGTTTATCTTTGTAAACAGTGAGTTATTTTGTGATTACAGAAAGTAAACTTGAGTATATTGGATATTTATACAATTGGTATGATTTCTAATTTTCAGAATATTACTATTATTATTATTATTATTATTATTATTATTATTATTATTATTATTATTATTATTATATTTCATTTTACATTATATTTTAGTAAAATATATATTGAAAAATGAGCGAATCAGAATCTGAAAATGAATACGCTGTCGGAAAACGGCTCACAAGGAAGAGATAAGTCATAAGTGTGATAAGTAGAAAAAGGATATATTTTATACTTGAATAAGTAAGTGTTATAGCTTACAATCCCACATGTAAATGATAAATATCAATAAAACGATTGTTTTTTTTTGCTTTCACATTGTTATTTTCAATTCTCGATTGCATTCGAGCGTGAAAAATTATAGTAACATAAAGTACAACGCCGCTCGAATTATCTCGAGTGTGCACAGTTTGGCCAGTTTAGCGCGCTCGAGTTAACTCGAGCGTGCACGTTAAGGGGTTAAATGGTAAAGTGCCAAGGGATGCGAAACAACATACAATATCTTCTTTCTATCCATTGTAATTTCAAAATGTTGAGCGGATGATACAGCGAACGCGGATCAAGAGAAACATACGTGGCAGGAGCACCGAGGAGAAGAAGTGGGAAGAAGTAGCGTGAAATTCAAGTTGAACGAGTATCGCGCCAGGAGATAGAAGGAAAGACAATAGCCTTGGGAATCTTCGCTGCAGACGGTGCCTAGACGCACCTGACGCGAGTCGTCCCAAGTCGTCGATCTGTTATTGGGATTTCTGCGCGTGCAAGATCCACGGAAGAATCTGCTCGGTCACGACCTCCACTGTTGGCCGTATTATGCGACATTCTCCGCGGGAGCAAATCCAATCACATTCCGTCAAGCGTTTTAATAACAAGAGTAACGCGTAACATCAAGCCGAACCGAGCCGTGCCGTGTCGTGTCGAGGCAGGTAAAATATACAGAACGAAACGTGATTCCTAGAGCAAACCAGAAGGAAATGATTTCTTAAGATAACTTGTCTTCGACATCCGCCGGACGTACAGTGGATAGAAACCATATGTTGTATGTGCACACGGTTTTGACGTGACAATGTAACAATTATTAAATATTTCGAAGACTATCAAAGTTTTCTGTAGAAACAAGATATTTTAGGATGTTTATTGAAGGGTTTTCATAAAAGAAACAAAAGCTTCGTGTTGAATTTTCTTACGCAATGTTGATCAATTAAAGTTCTGTTCAAACCGAAACTTTTACTTTCAAGAGCTTTCCTTCATTTGTTCTCGTCGGAACTATAATAATATGGAAATGTATTTTCAAGCAGTTTCGCGGTCCATATTTGAAACAAAATCTATTAAAAGGTCTTTCGATCCCTGACCTTTCGAACTATTCTTCATGTAAAATAAAAATTCTTTAATGATTAGAGTGAATTGGAAATGAGACATATAGATATTTAAAAAAAATTGTACTTCATCGACTATTATTATTATACAGTCTATTTTCTACAACACTATGCAAGGTGCAAGTTTTACATTATTTTATTTTAGTTTGACTAATTTTTTTTATGTAAAAATGTTCGTGAATGTGAAAAGAACAGTATAAACTACGCAACGATTTTTCATTTGAACGTGACGAAATTATAAGCAGTAGAACGGTGTAAGCGGAATAGAAAGGTAAGGATTAAACGTATAATATTTTTTGCAAACCATTTTATGCCAAAATCTGATTGTCCAGCTCGTTATTATCCCCTTGAATGCTCATTGTGTAGCAAGATGACAGACCGATGGTGCTTTTAAGCGGCAACAATTCGCTTGATTGGAAAGGAAACGTTTGCGAGCCCTTAACCGTTGAATGTCCTTGTTATCAGTCGGATCCATAGGTGGAGAAAGAAAATGGCACACACGCAAGGCGATGCAAATAGTGGGAGATACAGTGTGCGCGCCGAAGCGTGATGTCGATTTTCCCCAAATTTTTCTTTCAGCGACGCCGAACGATCTCTTAACTACGGAAAATGTCCACCATTTCCACAGAACTGATTAAACCTATTATGCGCGTCTCATTTCCATGCTCTTCTAATGTGAACACCTGATGAACTCCCATACAGCTCATACAAATCTAATATGGGCAGTTTGCTCGTTTTGATGAGTTTCAGTAGTAAATTGTCCGGACCAGTGCGACAATTCCGGATAAAAATCGGTGGTCAATAATTTTGCGCGAAGAAGGGAATCCAGAGCGTGGAGCACAAAAATTTGGTCATGTAATAACTCATTCGTGAAAAAAAAACTTTGAGAATTATTTAACAGAATTGCGTATGTTAAAATGAAGCAGCGAAGTGACACAATCGAAATGTAATTACACTTTGTTTGAAAACGAAACTGTCACGAAACATGTATTACATATTTATTACATATTTTCGACATATTTTTTCGGGGAAATCGAGGTTATGCTGGATATGTTCGAATTTGAATTAACTCGCGATAAATCGATACTTCACATGGATGACATTTTCCTCTCTAAACTTAACTTATTTGTTAGTAATCGGTAACAGAATTGGGCACTCGCGTTTCTGAATGTTTATTACGTATATTACACAAGTGTTTAATTATATTACAACAAGCTCATCGTCATACTCTAAGCAGACATCCATACATGCTGTTTTAAAATATCAAATAGAAAAATATGAGTTTCTTTTCTCACTAGTACAAGAATACTTTTCGCGATTGTTAAGCATAATTAATTATAAACGATGCGCCTACTACTTAAAATACATAAAACAGATACTGCACTTGGTTTTGGCATTTCTAACCGAGATTCTTCTCTCGAAAATTTCATCTCTCCAGTTCATAATCTAAATTTCAATATAAAATTAACGAACACCGGTTTGCGATTAAAGACACCGAATTAATATCCTCATTTTTATAGTTGAAGCGTCCTATTACGTTCATCGATTTCCAATTCATTCAGATATCTTGAAGGGACGCGACATCGTTAAAAGTTTCAAAAAATCATTCTTTTTGTTAGACGTTCATTTACAGTTTCTTCGGAAAGCTTGCTAATTCGATCTAACAATGAGAGAGCTTTTCGCTCGACGTGTCGCAGGTACTCGCCGGCGGAGGTAAAATATTATTTTTAAATAACATCGCTACAGCGGACAACGCCTATCTACATATTATATCACATGTGAAAAAGCTGCAAACATACAACTCGAACGGCTACGTACAAAAAGAAAAACAGAAGAATTATCGTTAACGATTCCGTGATCGTTAAACGCGAAAGCGAGCACGCTTAATTGCACGTGCGTCCACGACGCGAACAGGTGTCGCGCTATTGTTCATTTTCTCTCTCCCCCTATCTTTTTTTTTCTTTGCCTCGCGCACCCTCGCGCCCTCTTTCTCTCTCCCTTCTACGTTTCCCCTTTATGGCCATATTTTTGCATGCCAACTGACTTGACAACGAAGCTGGCGATTGGCCAATAACGATCGGTTATTCAACTCCGATATTGGCTCCCATCGGAACACAATGTTACTTCGAAAATCTCGATAAACGAGTATGCCGCCAAATAAACACGCACAAGTACCGATAAAACAAATCGCATCCGTCGTACACACAATGGAGTCTCCGGCTCTTTACAGACGATTATTTCTTTAAGAGGTTTAACACTCCACCGTCAAAATATAGCGGTGTAGTTCGGTGTAAATTACGAACTGAAAATTCTTTCAAACGCGCAGAGTTCGCTACTGCTGATTTACCACCGAAGTTATGATATTAAATTCTTTGAATTGTCATAGTTGTCAAACCATATATTTTCTTTTATTTCTTAAAACGATGCAACATTGTCAAAGAATCGGGAAACCGCATAAAGGATATTGAAATGTCATTCGAGTGAAATTGCGAATCTATCGTTGCTTCTGTCGTTTTGGATTCGCTTGAAATATATGCGAACGCTAACGAGGTTTGTGACTTTCATCGATTCATCATGGCAAAAGTAAAATGTACAAATCGATTCGACAAATTTTTGCAGAGCTCGCGACTAATGCGTTACGAAGTCACTTTAATCGACAGGGATTTCGCATGCGTTTACGCATTGGCCGATTCTCATTCGCGATTCTACCATTCGGTATAAATAATGATTCTTTTACGTAGACTTTTTTTAATTACCTGCTGACGTTTCGTCGAGTATCTACATCATCGACATCTCGAGAGCCAGGGTTTCTTACAAAATATTATTCTGATCGGACTGCCGTAGAATCTTTTCACCAATTTACATAGTCCCAGCATTTCTTACTGGCTTATTCCTCCGATTCCTCTAGATCTCTCTCGCTAATTTTTCTCAGCCGATTCCATCGATCCCGACCGACTCGTCCCATCAATTTCCCTTAATACCACCCGCCGACTTCGACTTCTCCTAGCAAACCTACAAACGTCTGTCTTCCTCCACCTCTTCGTAGAATTTCATCACCTGCTCCCTAGCAGCTTGAGTGACGGAGATCCTGCAAGGATTCGGATCCCAGTTGATGCCTGGACAGCCCATGGACTCGAAACAGGTGACCAAACGTTTGACGTTCGTCGGACAACACTGGACCACCGCCCAAACGCAAGGTGGAGGACTCTTCACCGGCGGTCGTCGAGTCGGCGCTGCAGGGAAGTTCGGCACCTCCATCCCCTTGCGGTGCGGATTAAAGCCCTGCGAATGAACATTTCTCCGTATTTTCAACCGTTTCGAGAAGTTGCGGCCAGCGTTTGCGTCAAGGGAGCACAGCACTCGCCGATTTGAATAGAACTTTGTTGTGCTCTATTGTGATTCAGGACAAGAATAATTTGGTAATCGCGCATTTGTAAAGCGTCCGATGAAATACGAGAAATCGTTGAAAAGTAACGGCATTGTTCCAGGATTAAATTCTTAACATTAGAACTACCAAACCCTTATCCAATGTATATTGTGGTATAATAGTGACATATGACATGATTGGATTTGCAGAAAACACCAAAACGGAAGAAGAAAATATAAACTTAACTCCTTATCGAACACGCAGAAAACATCCTAAACTTCTAATATAATCGATATTAGACAATAAAGAATAACGTTTGGTTTATTTAAGTTTCGTACGAATCCTATTGCAATATTGCCTAAAGAATTTGATCTAACTCATAGAAACGTTTAAGTAATATCAGGAGTTGTAAAAGAAAAGTTTAGAAACCAGACATTTTGGCTAGTTTGGTAGTTCTAGCGTTAACAAATAAGTTACATAAAGATCCACGATCTACTGATAAATCGCAAAACATCTCGGAGGATGAAAACTACGCTTTGAGAATGAGAAAAAACCTACTCGCCTCCATTATGAATGTTTGCTTAATGTTTACTTCATGTTGGAATCGAAATATGAGTCGAACAAGCGTAGTTGTCAGTGGATGGAGCACGAAGTTGAGAAAATGGGAGGCGGGTAAGGATTGGAGCACGCGCGGGGATGTAACGAGAGGCCCGCATATCTCTTTTCCTTTGCCAGGGAAGGGACTTGCGTTATCATGAAGACTGACGCGTGTAGCTTTGTGTAGGCCGTGTGGTGAATCGGTGCGGCGCTCGGTTTAAAATAATCTTTATTGCGTCGCAACAAGGGTTAGGAAGCAGACGGAATAGGTCTCACCGTGAACTCGATACTATCGCCGAAACGTGACTGTGGAATGACACCCTGCGTGGGCGCAGTCGCCGACGCTTCGGGGCGGATTATTATACTCGCAATCACCGGCAGCGAGTTCAGCCTAGCCTCTTCCTGCCGCCTCCATTGCTCTTTCGTGGCTCTAGCACGCTCCTGGCTTTCTCTGGCCTCCTTCGCTCTGCAAAGTATAACGGGCAAGCACTATCAGCTCGGACCGAAAGAGGAAGCTTATTGTGCGCGGTGCGATCAACGGGTCTGTGTCATTAATATCGCCCGTTTCGTAACACCGCGGCGCACAGTACTACCATATCCCAAAAAGTAGACAGAATTCAATTCTCATAGTATATAGCAGCGAGGAGCTGCTGCAGCAGATACGTTGTATACGTATCAGAGCATCAAACGTCGTTCGAAATCTTCAAATATGGTGGCTGGTTAGCGAGATATAGATCGTCAAAGTTGAAGGATTTTCAAATGATAACATCTTTAATGTGTCAAGCTAAAGTGCATCCTTAAAAGAGACCATTTATTATAAAGATGAACTTTGCACATAAGCGACGCAAAATATTTTTCAATAAAGTTTTGTGCTTCGCTCCTCAATATGTCCGAAATACTACATATAATATGAGGGTAAAGAAAAAGTTGCGATAGTCGTCGAAAAATTTTGCTCGTTGTTGCCCATTTTTAAGATATTCAAATACAAATCAACTATTATGGTTTTTTGAGGTTGCTGAATTTGAATATGTTGTGAAAAATGCAATATTTGAAATAGAAAATCAGACACTATAGACGGAAGTGTTATTTATAATATCAGTAATTTTCCGATATTTGGTTATAATTGTTTATCTCTCGTACACAAGATCTTAAATATTGTTGACGGAGAGCGTTGATAAGCGCTACTGGACACTCCAATTATAACCAAATATCGGGAAATTACTGACATTATAAATAATACTTGTGTCTATAGTGTCTGATTTTCTATTTCAAATATTGCATTTTTCACAACATATTCAAATTCAGCAACCTCAGAAACATAATAGTTGATTTTCATAAAATCGTGTAAATTGTGGCCAACTTTTTGGGAAAGTGGTACAACGACGAAGAGAAATCATTTTTCTCAATGTTCAATATACACGTATTTTTCACTAGAATATACTGCTATGATAGTCGAGTCTTTAACGCAATAAATAATAGTTGGGGTATAGTAATCTTGCACGCTGAGTAATTAGAGATTTATATAATTTATATATTATTTATTTAAAAATTATATTATTATTATTTATATATTATATTATTTATAAATTATTTATTTAAAAAGAAATTTATATAATTAACGATATTAAAGGATTAGCACATCGTGCTTGTTGTAGCAAAGCAACTAAAGTTACGCGGAAACGCATTGAAGTTTTGCCAATGCTTGCTAAGATGTTCTACGAAGCAATTAACTAATTAATTTGAAATTTTATGCTCGCGTTTCAGATGTACATTTATACACTTTATAGCTCGAAGGAAGATTGCAGAAACTCCTCTCTGGCACTTCCTTCCAATTATAAACTGAACTCGATAATGATGTCTGCTACTTTATGCCCTACAATTTTGTTCTCTCTATTTAGTTACAGATGATTCTGTTACCAAGCACAGAGTAATAATGGTTTCTGAACGTAACGGTGCATATAGATAAATTCGTGACTTTCTAAAGTATCAGGTTATATTTTAGCATATTATAAATTGTTATTAAACAATTATGCTTGTGAAAATGTTCGATCAACTAAAAGTTCCTTAAGCCGACTTCCAGCTTCCTACCTAATTTTGATCTTACAAAGACACGACGAGCCTTTGAGAGCAATAATAATTGGCCTTCTTTCAAGAATTATACACTCCCATTGCATTGCTTTCGAAATTATTCCTGCCTAATATTACTTGCAACACTTGTTGTCGTCGATTACATGCGACATGCGAACATGTATCCTCTTATTATCGAAGAAAAATGAAAAAGAAGATATCTGCGTTTAAAAATGATTTCTCTTGTCCTCCACTGTTAACCCTTTTACAATGACTGCTAAAAGTGTTACACCTAAGCGAAAAATACTGACCCAAGTAAATGTAATCTGGTAAAGTTTCAGAAGTAGGTTATAAACACAATTATATATTAGATATTAAAAATATTATATAATATTATATATTATATTATATATTAAAAATACGAAGGAAATAAGCTTTTCTCAAATGTAGTCAGCAACGATATGTCGCTCTGCTCGATATATTATAAGGGTTAATTATTCATATCACACCTCGCGAAAATAACATCGAAGGTAATTCAAAATCGTGATCGTAGACCGATCACAAATTGCGACTTTCGACACCGATCTCGACTACCTTAATTTCGGACATCTTGTCCGAAATCCGGTCATCCCTTACGGTCGACCGTGTCGACCATTTACCTGTTCTCGGCCCTCTCCCTCTCAGCCTCGATCCTTCTCCTCCTCTCCATCTCCATCCTCTGTCTCTCGAGCTCCGTAGATCTCCTAGCCTCGTTCGCGACTAAATTGGACGGAACAAGACTCGTTTCCTGCCTCCCCCTATGATCCTCGAACCGTCTACGATCTCCGTTCAGCGGGCCCATATTTTCCGGAGAACTCGTTTTTCCGGGATACTCTTGCTTCCGTCTCTCGACCAACATCCGTTGCCGTTGCTCTTCGTACCATCTCGACTGTGACCTCCGAACCTCCTGCTCCCGCCTCCGAGACTCCTCCTGAAGCCTTTCCCTTTCTCGAATTCTCTCCTCTTCAGTTTTTCGAGCGGCGTTCCTCCTTCTGGCCTCGTCCGCGTAGCTCCTGGGATTGACATTCGCCGTGGCTGAGGGACCGTGGTCTCTTCTGGCGCCTCCTAAGCTGGGGTACCTAGATCGATCGTCCCCTCCGGCTTGCTCCACCTTCCTTCTGTGCATCATCCAGTCGTAAGAAGCGTTCCTCGGCACTTGAACCGGCTGATTTCTCCTGATGTACTCCTGTAGTTTGCGCTCCTCGTCTAGCCGTCTCCGGTTCTCCTCCTGGGTTCGCCGATCAACGGCGCCATCAACGTTTACCGGCCGGTTGCGCTCTATGTACTCTCGTAGCTTTTGATCCCGTTCCCATTGTCCTCGGGATCCGCTCTCATTAGCGCCGGCCGGTACGTTCGACGGCTGGCTCCTATCCCTCGCTTGCTTCCTCCTCTCCTCCTCCATCTCCTGCCGCCTCTTCAGCATCCATTCCCGCCTCCTATCTTCCAGGTTGACTCTGTCCTCCTTTTGTCTTCGCCTCGCCTCTTCCTCCTGCAATTGCCTTCCCGACGAAGGAGTCGGCGGCCACGACTCTTGCCTCCTGCGGAAACCCTCCGTGCGTCTTCTCGCCTCCTCCATCATCCGATTTCTGTTCGTTTCGCTTTCAAGACGCCGTCTACGCTCGTCCTCCCGTTCCGGTCTCCTCGTCGGCGAAATTTGCGATAGCCTGCGACTCTCTTCCTGTCGTCTTTGTTCTAGCTGCTTCTCGTAATCGCTCCTGATCTTCTCGATGTCCGCATCAGTTCGATTCGCAATCTGGCCGCGTCGCTGGCTCTCTTGTTGTCGCCGTAATTCCTCCCCTTGCCGCCTTAATTCCTCCTCTTTTCTGCGGCGCTCGTAGAATTGTCTGCGTCTCTGGTTCTCCGTCTGCAGCTCGTCGCTGGACACCACGCCCTCTTCCTCGCCGAACCCCCACATGTCCCGCTTCTGGGGTTCACGGTTCTCGGACAGGTCGTTGACAGTCGGCTCTTTAACCCACAGGATCTTGCGAACTTGATTAGCTGTCCTTTGACCCGTGACCGCTTCGGCGCCCTCGAATTGGACACTTCGCTTTGCTCTAACAGAGTCCAGCTTTTCCTTGGCTTTACGCTCGTTTCGGTGAGGCATAGGGGTCAAGGTGGCAAAGTCTGTGGTCGCGCTAGACTCACCCAGATCCCCACGGACTGGTAACTTCTCCGCGTGTTTCTCGTCGTCCTGTAACCAGGAAATAGTTATATAGTGTGCCATTTAAATCAGTTCCCTTGGATGTCTACGAAAATGTTGACGACACGAAGGAATGAGAGATGAATCAAAGAAAACTTTCGAGAAGCGGTTTTCGCTACTATTTTTACTCCCTGTACATTATCATGATTGTACAGTAAATTCTTCCTAGTTTGTTCCGCGTTTTTATAGTTGTTGACAATCGGTAACTATAAAAACCAGCCGCAGGGCTCGAATAATCGTAACCGCTCTTTCCGAATTGTCCATTTTCGTGTACAAGCTGAGGATCAATTGGGGAGAATTTACTGTAGTCATTTAAGATGGACCCCAAAACCAGCATTTTTACCGTGTTATCAACTTCGAACAATTTATTTTGTAAGTGAATTCTTACCTGAAACTCAGCGTACAAAGTCACGTCTATGTCTCCTCTGTTCTGTTTCATCCCCTTCGTCGTCGTCTCTAATTTCTTGAGCTTGAACAGCTCATCCATCTCCTCGAACTTCTCCTCGGACAGATCATAATCCAGGTCCAGAGATATCGGGGTCACTTCCGACCACAAATCACCTTCATCATTCTTGCTTACAGAGTCTATGGATCTCTTTTGCCTGGAATCAGCTAGTCCTTCGCAACCAACTTGCAATTCTGGCACGCCACCGATGCTGAAAGGATCCGTGTTGGGAGGTGCATCTGAACTGTGATCGTCGAACGAGTTTGATTGTTTGTGCACGAGTTTTGGATTAGAAGCTTTATAATCGGTAGCTTTAGTTTTCTCGTTGCTGTGACTGGTCTTTTTCGGCACCTTGCGTTTAGCATTCATCGGTAGCTTCGACGTAGGCATCGGGTTTGGTAGTAGACGCTCTCTGAGCAGATCCAGCTTGTATATCTCCACCGAGCCAGGTCCTTGATCCTGGAACGTGTCGTCGGCTACAAAGGGATCCTCCGACTGAGACTCTTGAGGAGGTGATCTCGCAGGCACCGAGCTTTCTTCAACATTGATATTCTGATCTAGGAATTTTTGGCCGTTGTATCGGAGGAGCTGTTTATCTTGCAGCAGGGGTGAGAAGTCTTCTGCGGCGCTGTTCCTCATCCCGAAGGATAGCAACTCTTTCTCCAGGTGTTTGATAAGCTCAGATCGTTCTTGAGAATCTTGAAAATGAATATGCGCTTAGGTTGGGTTACAAATTTTGGCTATCTTCTATAATTTAAATAGTTATTAAAATCTCTTAAAATCTCTATAAGTATGAAAATCTTGTGAATCTACCGCGTAAATTCGAATGTCAATAATCATTTCTTTCAGTTTTCGTTATACATCGTGGAATATCGTAAAATGGATATTTGAATTGATGTCGATAAAGAATAATATTTACTTTTAGCATGAATAGTAATATTTTCCGTTCAATTACCCAGACGCACGGCAACCAGAGATTGAAGTTTAAAGCGCTCCCTTCGAGAATTACACAATATTCTTGCATCTCGATATTTCAGCTGCATTCAGAGAGGAACATTTCAAGTTTCCAGTGGGCTTCGTAATAATAGATTGACGAAGTAATATTCCAGGCACAAGTTTCGAATCAACGTCATGAATTTAGAATCAAAAGCTACATTCAACAGTTTATTTTGCACTGCTTGAATCGCTAAACAGCTCCCATCAAAACCTATTGTACCGTTTCTAAATGCGAATGGCGATTGCAAATAAAACGCTTACACTTATTTTTGTAGATTGTACGCGTTTCTCAATTAAATGGGCATATTTAACTTTCTCAAAATTTACACTCGCCTTCGAACAACCTAACACAATTTTGTAACTAGTCTTTGAATCTATTCGATTCTTTCTTTAATGTTGACAGAAAGTAACAAGTACAGAAGGAATAACCAATAATGTGGCGAACGACCGCTTTTTATAATTATTTAGTACTTTTTAAACAAGTAAAAGCTGCGAATTTAGATAACCAAATGTACTTCTCGATTATTAAGTAATTAAGTCTCTGCAATGAATTCATAATATCATTCGCCATCATTTATATTCACGCAAATGCGTGTTGCGAAACGATTACACGTTTTGATTACAATTGATTCCATACTACTTGCGTGACGCACACTTCGCAAAAGAGAACTTCGCTTAAGGTTCTCAAATAGTGTAGAAAATTTAACAACGTTACACTCCATTCGCTTTCCTGCAGGATCCACGTAACTTAAAACGCTATTTCGAATAACTCTCGGTCAGATTTCACGCAGTTCCATATTCCTCGAACATAAAATTCTTTCCCGAAATTTCGTTGACTCGCCGCGGCCACTAACACGGAAAATGCAATTCCGTCTCATCCGAGCCTAGCCGAATCTACGTAGAAAGATAGAAACTCGCGCAAACATCCGTAGTCTAGTAATTACAACCGTAATTAATGCTGTAAATTGCAACTCGCGTGACGACCGTCCTAATTCACCGGCGAAAGACTCATTGGCGGTCCTAAGTTACCGGTGTTACGGACTCTGATCAACTTACCACGCTTATCCGTATCATTCCGTTGGAGAACCTCATTACCCGTCCCTACAGCCTCGGAATAATCGAGCTCCCACTATCCTTGATTCACAGGATAGACTGTACGGAGTAGTCGCGTTACTCCTAACACAAATGAGAAAGTAACGACCGCACATACAAAAATAGGGTGTTCCATGTTGCCGCGCGACTGAATTCGCAAAACACTGTTCGACTTTGTAGTCAGCAAAAGTAAACTGTAATCCGAGCGGCAGAACTCCGCGAACTGGTTAAATTCGATTTCGTATCACGTTTTCTTCAGATCATTTCTAAGCTCGATATTAAATTGCTCTTTGAACAAAAGCTTTCATCATAATTCTGCATCGCAGGAGTAGAATACACAAGACACGTAATTGTTATCTGTTCTTCCTTTTTTCTTTTTTTTTTTTTGAAAGAAGGACAAGAAAACGAATATTTTTCTACCTTTGTTCAAAATTTGTATCGCTTTACTAGAAATGTTAGATATGATCTTGGTTTGTTTTCTCTTTGCAGGTATCGGTTTCCTTTAAAATAACGAATCTTTGAAATTATCATAAATATTCTCTGCAAGAGATCATTTTTAGATCGTTCTGTATAATAGATCAAGAAGAATTATTTATTTAATTGATAAATATAAATTTGATTAGAAATAGCTCGGATAGAATTGTACTGATAATCTTGGTACGTTATTACTAAATGAAACATAAAAACATGTAGATTATAAAAATTGGCTGATTCTGGACCTCACTGCTGGTGAAAAATGTTCACAGGATACATTGATGTGGCGTGCGACAGGGCAAAGTTGCATTCTCGAAAATGACGATTCGAAATGCGTTCCTCTAACAGCGTATATTCCCATATTTACATTAGCATTACCAACGGCTTATCACACCGTGTTATGTGTCCTCCATCGACCCTACTATATTTCCAATGACAGCAATTTCTATTGAACCGCGGTGAAAAATAGCGACACACCTAATGGTGACAATGCTTACAAACGTTAACGCGAGTAGACACAGTCCGCGATGGTCAAGCGTAAAAGGTACGCGCGGTATTTTCTAGTCGGACGGAAGGAATTTTTCAAAATCGATTTCCTCGGGCTATCGTGCCGCGTTTCGCATTATTTTATTTAGTCCTACATCTTCATCATTTTTTCGTTCGCGACGCGGATTGCACGTCAGCCTGTCCACCGGGAGACAAGCATGCGGTAGTTTTACTGAGCAAACTTGCTGCTCCTACCGATTTTCACTTTGCTTCTGTCACCAATTTTCCCTGGCATCTTCCATCGATTTCCCTCTACCTCTTCTACCAATTCTCTCCGCAAACTCCTTCCGCAGGCTTCGCGTTCGCCCGGTAAATCTGAACGCCTCTCTTTCAGCAGATTGACGAGCGGATCTCGTTACCGGCATTCCGTGCAGCAAGCGTCATTCGGAACTCGAAACTGTGGTTGCGAGGCAAAACGACTGAAGTCACGATTTTCTCTATGCGAAGACACCGGATCGCCGAATCGAACAGCGAAGAGACTTTCGTGCACGTATGACTTGTGTTACTTCATGGTACAACTTCAGGAATTCGAGCGGGAGCAAAAGTTGCGCAGCAATCGGCTGCTGGCTACGCCGGCGAACCTATCTCAGAACCAATTGGTGAAACTATCGACGAACCTACCGATGCTTGTGTCCGGCGATCTCCGAGGACTGATCGTGAGATCGGACGAACCATTGCCGGCAGCACCTTGATCCTTCCAATACGAGCTGATCGAGATGCTGACCGGCTGTTTCTCCGCGGGACCGCGTCCCTTCGAATGCAGGCTGATCGAATCCTCGATCGACAGATCCTCGTCGGACTCGTTCGGAAACTTCACAAACGGCTGGTCCTCCTCCGTTCTTCTATGGAGTCCATGGCGGTGCGAGATCCAAGGGGCGTATTGATCGGGAGTGAGGCGGGAGGACTGAGGGTTGCTGGCCCCCACCACCGCCACACACACCGCTAGCCAGACCGTTGCCGGAACCACTGTCACCCCCGGCAGCATCATCCTACAATCAAACGGATATTCTTCGTTACTACTACTATTCTTCGCTGCTCTCGAGCGAGCAACGCGGCAGCGGAACCGGCTGTCGACAAGTCGAACGACACTTCCAGGAATCCCGTTTAACCCCTTTACGCTCATGCCCACGCTTTCGCCACGCTGGAGTGGCGAAGAATGCCTTCGAACCTCACATGCCGTTTTAAATTGAAGGTGAATCCACGAGGAAAAGTAATAGGGGGTGCCAGTAACGTTGGATGTAGGTCAAAGTATATAGGCATTATCGCAACTTCATGTCTAATGCGAAAGTACGATTAAGGTACACAAGTAAACCTTGGTCTGAATCTCGCTACAGTAATTGCAGCAAATGGAAGAGAACGTTTTCGAATTTCTCTGAGAATTCCCTAGAATTACTTTAATCCTTCGCCATATCTTTTTCGTCACAGTTAGAATTATCAGAACTGTTTCGATCGTAATAATTTCTTAGAAGAGAAAGCAAGTTTGACACGTTTGTTGTGTGTCAACTTTTATTTGAATACTTGAATATGATAAAAGAGCAGATTAGCAGTTCATACTTAGCAGATTGTTACTAGAAATCTCTATCACGAGGTAGGATTAGGTGTTACCGATCGTGGTGCACCTGGCACATGTTCAACTTATTAGACTATCCTTCATAAGTAACCAAACATCTAACAAGCGTGCATAAATAAATTGCACATTAGTGCTATAATGAATTAAGCATCTTTTAGGTAGTCTTAGTTAAGCGTTGTGTCATCGCATGTCAATTACATTTGTACACTTTATACAAACGGATGCAGGTCGCTCAAATATTAACCCTTTGCACTCGCAGTCATTTTAACTGTAAAACGAAAATAGTTTTTCCGACATACAGTATATGACTTGCTTTTATCAACAGTATTCATTACGAACTACGTATTACAGCCACGAAATACACACAGTATGGGCTGCAGAAATCTACGTCCCTTACGCTCAGACGCGGCGTTGGCGGTGGTTATCTCCGCGTCGCGTCGCGTTAATACGTACAGCATCTTCTTCAGCTATTTTAAAAAGAGCTAACCCAACTACCACGGTATTTATAGCTGCAAATGTTGTTAGAAATGTATGTTATCGGTTACAAAACACATCCGAAATAATTCACTCCCTTACGAGATCGAAAACTGTTATACGTGTAATAATTCTAGTTAAACCATAAAAACAAAACGATTTGCATAAAATGGATAAACAATTAACAAGAAAAATTTAAAAGAGAATTTATTTTTGAAATATGTATTGTTTAAACAAATAACTTTTAGGAGAATCATTCCATGTGACTTTTCACATCCTAGATATGGATTATTGCAGATTAGAAAGATTCGTATCAAATATTTTTCGCCAAGCTGTGCCATAGTTAAATTTCATTAAAATCGGCGTGCTACACTTGGAAATGCTCCCTTGTTGGTGCATTTTATATGTATAAAATTTAGTCCTGCGATTCATACAATAGTTCCACTTTCGACAGTTTTTTTAGATATAAATGAATTTGATAGTGTAAACATGATATCGGGTTGTGATGCAACAATTTTTATTGGTGCCTTAGAGTCACCATTCGCCTGCAAAGGGTTAAAACTGTAAAGATGAACGAATGAATTTCTTTATCGAAGCACGTATAACCAAAATACCGCAAAAAATCTGAGTAAGTATAAATATTGTTATATATACAAGACAACACGTATCAGTCACTTTTAATTCCCGGTATTTTTAGCGTTGACATATGATCTTTCGATTTCTTTATAACGTAAAGATTTTTAAAACTGAGGTATTTACAAAACCGTTTCAATGATATGATAGCTTCGAGATACTCTGGAACAACATCACATAAAAGGATGTCACTGTGCGACATGGGGGAAACTCGTCAGAGAAGATCAAAATGGCGGATCAGATCTCCGGTAGATCGATCTCCGAAACTAGACACACCATGACCTTTCACTCACGTCTCCGCTATACGGAATCACGTTCGTTGTTACACACGAAAGCCTATCGATTCCGAGCCACTCGACTCCCGCTCGTAGAAACGCCAACCCCAGTTTCCCTTCCCCCTGACGCGAGCCGCTCTTATTAGATTCTGTTCCCGTAGACGAAATTCCCGACGCTTTGTGCCTCCGGCGAACCTGCTCAGCCGCTGACCCGGAGAACAGAGAAGCAACAATCGGTCCTCGACGCGTTCGAGGTGAATCGAGTGATCTTGACACACTGTCGCTGCCAAGTCGACACCGGCTAAACTTAACAACTCCCCTCCCCCGGACGGTCCCAGTGACTTCTTTGGCTTCGCTGGCGAACGCCCCCGATACACTTCCGACAGACAATCATAGTTGTTGTGTTCGCGCAACGATCTCGGACAATTTAGTCCGAGCGAACATCTATCTGGCACCGCGTTTTCGCGTGTCGGTGCTAGCTGAATTAACAGGTTGAACGCCGTGTGGGCCATCGACAAGCCGTTCTTTTTGCTTCCGCTTTTAGGTCGTTTCGTGTAGAGCAGCATGAAAATATTTCTCTGACACTGGAACAGCTAAATCCGTCGAAATGATGGATTTCGAACTGTTTGTTTACCAGTTAGTGAGATTGTAACGATGATTTGTAGCCGATTACTGGATCGATAGTTGTTGGGAGGACGGTCCTCAGCAACGATTCCAATGATCTTGAAAGATGTTAAGGTGAACGATTTAGAAAACCTTTCTCCGTATATGTAGTCTGACCTCGACCTTCTTTTCTTAAATGCACTTCCGCCTTCAGCAGACGATCGGGAACTTCCCAGATGGGATTACTTCAGAACTTGCGTCCGGTTTCTCCGCTAAGATACTCAGTTTAACTATTCATTTTAGAAAGTAAGTTGAGTGTTACCACGCAGTCTCGTAAAAAAATACAGGCACATACGGATAAATAAATAATTTCGGTGATAAATATACGTAATAGAATGAAAAAAAATAAGCAGTATATAGGAAAATATATGGAAAAGTCAAAAGAAGAAAATAACATCTAACTCAGTCCTAAATTAAACCGGTAATCGTTTAAATTTATTTAACTATTACCATTTATCATTCTAAATTAATTTTAAACCACTTGAAATACCTTGTTTGTTGTATACAAGTTTTAATTTAATCTGTTCGTAAAGCGAACCACACTTTCGATTAATAGCGTACGTGATTTATTTGTTGATCTATTTTTATAAATTTGATGTATTTCTTGTACACATAGTTAGTTGTTGAAATTTATAAGACTATGCACGAGCACATGTTCTATAATACTACGAAGATGTTGCGACACACTTTTTTCGAAACTGACTAATATAAGGTGAGTCACCTAATTCCGTCAAATTAAATTACCCGTGAATTGCTTGTTCTACGAAGATGTTTTTCAGAGGAAAGGTGTAGAACATCCTATGGTGTATAGTATACGTTAATTAGTTCTTTGTTATTCTGCTGTCTATCGAGATATGAAAGTCACTTGACTGACCTGTTAATCAAATGCTATTGCAAGTTAAAAAATTATTAACTACATTCTATAAAAAATAAACGGGACATTCGTGAAATGTTTTCTTCTGGGTTGGTAAACGGTGATCGCTTGAAATGAAAATACAATTGTTAAGCTTAACAATCGTCCAACTTTTACGCTAATAGTAAACAATGAAATATGTCGACCGAAAAATTTTTCGCGGTACAAACACAATGGATCATCTGACCGAGAAATTACATATACAGTGGGCCATAAAAGTGTTCGTACACCTTTTAAAGCAACAAGCAATAACTTTTTTAAAACTGGACTAAATGATTTGAATTGTTTTTAGATGATAGAGGGACTAGTATACTAGACAATGACCAAAATGTCTATTTTAAATTTTGCTATTATTTGAAATGACAAACAAAAATTAAAAAACTCTCGTTTTTTAACTTTTTTGCATTCTGAAAATTTTATCGAAATCGGTTGACGTTGTTACAAGTTACAATAAATTAAAGACTTCTGTAGGAAGTCTGCGCTTTTTTAAATCTTTCAACACCTATAGCTTGACTCTCGGTTAATCGCATTCGATCAAATTTTCAGCACGCATATAAGTTACCGGAATCTGCGAAAGGCATTTTTTAAATTTTCGTTATAGGCTCAGATAAAAAGGTTAAAAAACGAGAGTATTTTATTTTCTTCTGTCATTCCAAATAATAGCATATTTTAAAAAAGACATTTTGGTCATTGTCTAGTATACTAGTCCCTCTATCATCTAACAACAAATCAAGTCACTTAGTCCAGTTTCATAAAAGTTATTGCGTTTTAAAAGGTGTACGAAAGAATTATTTTTATTCGAAACTAGTTTGTAAATTACTTTTGCTTTTGCAAAGATTATTAATATTTGCTATATATTTGAGGATTCTATTTTTATTAATTCTTAGAATATCAGCCATATTTTTGCCCGAAATATACGGATTGAAAATTGAGAAATAATTTTCCAATTGAAAAATCAGCTACGCCGCTATGTGTGCTTCAATCGAGAGGATATGACCTTTTGAATTCTTGGTAAATTTCCCAGATTGTTTAAAGAACAATGGCGTGCTGGAAACATTTTATTTACTTTTTTTTATTGCATTTGTGCAATAACACAGCGTGCGCACACAGACTGTTTCAGTTTAAACAGAACTTTTCTCGAACGTTACGAACATATTTGCAAAAGTCCATTCATATTAGAACAGTGGAATCGGATATTGCGACTAAAGGGTCTCTGGGTTGTTTTCGGACATAATTAACTTTACATTTTTTTATTCCTTTATTATGTCTATTTTTTAATAAAAAAATTCTATTCACTAAATATAAAGTTAATTATGCTCAAAAACGAACCAAAGACACAGTTGATCACCCCACAATGATCGGCTCCACTACCCTACGTACTGGAAACCTTCGCAGCTCATACAGAAAATGAAAGAATTAAATTTTGTTATTAAACGTGCTAGTAATTATCTGCCTCTGGAACTATCTTAAACATTTTTCAAACAGCAACGTGAGAGCATGATAAAGAAAAAATTAATTTTTCTTATAACTAAAATTAAATAATTAAATTAAAAGAACTTTAACAAAAAATGTGAAATTTCATTAAAAATCCGTATGCAAAATTCGAAGGTAATCGAAAGTTGTTTAAGTTTTCAGGATCATCATAAAGCAGTAGTTTTAAGGGAAAAGCATATGAACACGAAGAGGGAATTTGGTCTTAGAGAATAATATTTTTATAATATTTCTTTATAATAGCTTTATAATATTTCTCAAATATTCATCTACACAAAAACATATGAATAAATCTTATTTTCATAAAAATTTTAATCACCAATAGGATGACACTTCGGAATTCTCACAATCGGGCTGTTTGATATTTCTACAAAGAGATCCTTATTACCCTAGACTTGATTAGGAAACATGTGCAGACAATAATTGTCAATCGATGATTAGCATCACGATCTACTGCAGATGACGGTCATCACAATTCTGACCATTAATTCGGCCTCAAGACATCATGAACTGTAGTGCTTGGACAGCTGCGGATAACATGCCTTATATACATATACAACCTTGACTTACAGACAGTATTTACTCTATCGCAGTGCTGATGTCCAGAATCTTCAGAATAACAAGCAAGAAACTATTCATATACGATGCAAAAACTCTGTCTTCAACATTGGTAACATAAACTTCTGGACAAAAAGGATAGTAAAACGTGTGCTATCGTTACGCCATTATGCATTTAGGAATTTAAAATTCATATCAAGGCAAATTAATATGAAAACATTTTACTCTCGTTTTAACTTTCAAAGCAGCTCTAGATTTACACACTCGGAGATTCGTCAGTTCAGCTTCGCTTCCCAGCATGTGCTAGCCAGCAGACATCGCCAGAAAATTCTCCTGCAGGTACGGGAAATAAGAGACACTCGTGTGTCCGAGGTTCTTTTGATTCAAAGTTAACAGTGGGTGGATTATAGTAACGTTACTGGCAGTCGACGAAATTCACGGTTGAATTTCCATGTGCGTAGCAATCGCAAAGCGAAACTTTGGCTTCGGGCTGTCGCAAATCTTGATCCAGTAAAATAGAAATTGCAGAACTAAATATATGATGTTTCAATTTTCCTCTCTTCCATTCCCTTTACGTTTTAATCCTCAGTCGGGGTAATCGAATTTTTCTCGATCTTTTGAACTATTTTCAGAATGAAATTGAATAACAAAAAACTCAGGATTATCGTTCCCGAACAACTCAGATTACTGTAAAAACTTGAATCCGTTTCTGTAATCAAAGAGTAGTACCAAATAATACTTGATGAATTGAACAATAATTTATATGAATCATATAAAATATTCATTTTATTTATTTTCAATATTTGAACGGAACAAACTCTTTGCGTCGAAGATAAAATAGAAAATAACGCATGTCGAACAGAATAGAAAGAGCAAAGTGACAAATGGTAATAAATAAAACTCACTACGACAGTAAAAGACAAGATACAGAAATATACAATGCCTAAAGTTACAAAATCATTGCTATTATCCTAATTTGATAGATTACTTTTATAGGTTACGTAACGCACTTTATAAGATTGAGCTTTTACATGTACAAAGAAGAGAGAACTGAACACTGAAGTCACTAAAATAATTAGCTGTAACGAATTGTGTTGAAGACGTATTGAAACGTTATATAACAATGAATCAATTGTTCATGAAATAATGTATGAAAATTAAATATCATGAAGATTGTCAAGATTTATAGATATGAAATATTTCCACCGGTTTCAAATTTTTATCTTGATCTAACGATATGTACAGTGGCTCACAAAGGTATTCGAAAATTTCTTAAAGCGGAATAACTTTCTAAAAATTAGCCAAATGATTTGATTTTTTTCTTTTTTACATACTATAGAGACTAGTTTACTACACAATGTCTAAAAATTTCAATTAGTTGAAATGAAAACAAAATAAAAAAACACATTTCCAAATTTTTATCTGCACCTAAAACGAAAATTTAAACGATACGCTTTATAGGTCTCAGTTTTTTGTGACATTTTTAGCATGCATTTGGTAACAAATTGTTTTAAAAAAAAGTGACTCCTTTTGAAAAGGTGTACGAAAATTTTCGTGAGCAACTATGTACTTCATTGTAAACTGTTTTTATCTTCTCTTATGAATTAAATTAATTTTTGGTACGCTTGTACCACCAGTATCTCACTGTCCTTCGAGAAACGTTTTCGACAGGGGCCAGCAACTGGTTGAATGAACAGACAGCTAAATTCAGCTAAAGTCGGCGGTGACACAACCATTTGATTATTCAATAATACATGTAACTGCCTCTGTCTTCTGAGCCGAAGAATTCCAGCCATGTTCGGACAATCACGTGTCAGTGACTCAGTCCAATCAGAGTCTAACGTAATCGGCACCTGGATTGCCAGTGACCCACCGTAATTGCACGATAACGAGCCTAGACGACGTTGTTGCGTAGTCGTTTCGGTCATTAATAGCGCAGCTAATTATATAATCTTT